ATATATATATATATATATATATATATATATATATATATATATATATAAAAGGTCCAGAGTGTATGATTTATGATTTACTAACTTGAGTCGCATGGCATGGATGCTGCAGGGAGAGGATTACAGATAATATGTTAAAACAGCCAGTGTTTCCTACATTTCCTACATTTCCCATAATGCAAAGGGCAAACAGTAAAATGATTCACAAACTATCCCTCCTCTTGTTTTTGTTCCGTGTTAAACGATTCATTGCTTTAAATGGTTTCTTACTTTTTTGGAAGAACCACATTCCTAGAGGAAATAAAACAATGATTAGAACTCTCATCGTTAAAGAAAGAACACATAAATGCACACATAACAGCTTCTTAATTTGATGTAAAAATATCAATTACTGCGTGATGAGTTGTCACCTGTTTTGCATTTGTGGAAGCCGACCAGCAGCAGCAGAGCGACCAGCAGAGCGATGAACATCATGACTCCCGGGACAATGTTCAGCAGTCCTACGGGTGTTAAACGACAACAACTTGGGCTTATTACAGCGTAATAACACATCAGGTGTATTTTTGAGATACCTGGTGTAACTACCCACCTTTGTGGAGAGGGTTGGGGATGGGTAGGCTGCTGTCCTCACTGACCGGATTCCACAGCTCACAGCTGAACTCCTTTACACTCGAGTTGCCGGTCTTGAAGCAGAAGGATACATTACCAAACGTGCGAGTTGCTCGTTGCACACACACACACACACACAAACACAGACGGGGATCGTCGCACTACGCAGTGCACTGTTCAATACCTTTGTAATGTGTAGCTCCTGAGATTTAGTCCACACATCGTCGCCTGGCCTCCACCTGTAGGTGACCGGTTCAGCGCCCGTGGTGTTTCCATCACAGGTCAGAGTGCAGCTGGTGCTCTCGTTGTCACAGGATATGCCGACAGTGGGTTTCGGGACGGGAGCTGTCGTTATTGGGGAAAGAAGAGATTAGAAGTTGGAGTCATATATATATATATGTGTGTGACATAGTCTAATTTAAAAGATTAAATCTCATTAAGAATTGTATTCAGGGGAAATTTCCACTTACAGATGACAAAGAGACGGAGATCTGGAGTCTTCTTCTCGCTGTTGATTTCTGATGTGTACAATCCACTGTCAATTGGAATCAGTCCCGTGATTGTCAGCTCTCCATTTGTCGTGTTCAGGCTACCGCGTACTTTAAACAGAAGCAGACACGGAGAGGGTTAGCCTCCCAACAGAGGTTTTTGAAGTACTACTTAGGATCGATCACTTAAAAACACCCTGAAATGAAGCACATATTTGATCCCACAGACACCAAAGACGTGAGCTCAGCGTACCTATGAACTGACGATAAAAATCGGTTGCCGATCCTTCCCAGTCGGCGGCAATGTTACCGTCCTGTTTCCAATTGATGCTGGTGATGCCCGTCACAACGCTGATACCTGGTCTGAGAACAGCTTCGTCGCCCACCTTCTTGTAGGATACAGTCTCTGCGAGGACAAAAAGAAGCTCAGTACCTGCTCTGCTTCCAGCTTCTTGAGGCTTGTTGCTTTTCTCTGTTTCATATCTTTGTAAATGATTTATCTTTGGGTTGTTTTTTAGCTACCACTGAGTACTCTTTGATAATGTCACATTGGTTGTTTTAGATTAGCTTCAGGCCGCATTAAGACCTTCATTAAAGGGGGAAATACAATTTAACTGACGAATAATAAAAAAAGAAAAATCATATAAGTGAAATATACGAGTCTTGTTAAGTTAGTTCTTTGTGACAATATCTTTATTTTTTACTCTTATTTACTTTTTTATTCTATTCCATTCTTTTACTCTCCCTCTGGTCTTACGTTTCTGTTCTGTTGTCTCTTCTCTTATGAAGCTCAACTATTCTATTCTACTTTATTCTGTTCTATTCCTCACTGTCCAAGGGTATTCATCCGTTTTACACACTTTACCTACACCATGCTTTATTGTTTGACTATTACTCTTTTGGTCTATTTAATCAATACTCCTAACTGTTATACATCTACTCACTTCTGCTTTATTCTATTGTACTAACTATCATATTTATACTCTCTTCTGCTCTATTCTATTGTACTCTTACCGATTATATTCCTACACTATTCTATTGTACTCCTGTTATATTTCTACTCTATTGTATTGTACTCCTACCTGTTATATTTCTACTCTATTCTGCTCTATTCTAATCTATTTCAGTCATAACTGTTCTATATATACTGCTATTTTTCCATTCTCCACATCTTAATCATGTTCCATTGTATTAGATTACTCTATTCTGCTCTATTCCTAACACCTATTTTTCTATTCAACATATTCCACCCAGCTATGATCTACTCTATTCTATTGCACAGCACTCTGATTTCTATTATCCCTAACTCTTTCTATTTGCATTGCTTCACTAAACTCTATTATACATCTCAGCCCTGGGGCTCTGTGTATTGTTGACGGGTGGTATCTGTTAGCGCTATAAATACAGCCTTACTGTAGCTGCGTGCTACTGAGTGGGGTCGTGGATCTGATAATACTGCGACGCAACTTGCACATATCCTTATAACTTACTTTTAAACGTATAAAACGTGCAAGCCAGCAGTCAACTAACGTAATAACCTTACCGGAGTTTGCGGACACGACAGCCAGAAAAACACACAAGCAACCGGCCAGTGTCCTGGATGTCTCACGCGGCCACATCTTACTCATGAACGAGAGGTAACTCAAGCTGCTTTCGCTAAACATAACGCTGTTAAAAACACAGGCGTAGTCTGCTGGCTTTAAGTACAGTTCGCTAGCTCTAAGTAGAATCTGTTTGAGGAAGCTGAAAGTGAAAGTTAAAAGGAAACCACCGCCTCCAAATTGTTCCACCATAGATGTGACGCTAACCAACACAATCACTGGTGTAGTTAGTTACTTCTGGAAAAGTGGATACAAATAATACATCTACATACACACACAAACAAAAACGGCATCATTCCCCTGCCCCCAGTGTCCAGAGGCTGTTACTGCAGTCAGAAAACTAAAGCTTGTGTTGCGTAGCAAAATGAACAGGCTCCATTTTATTCTTTAATGACATCATCCTTACGCAATCTGATGAACAACAGGGCTGCAATAAATGCATCATGTATCATTTATCCACAGGAACATTCTTGTTAGTATGCAAATCACATGCAATTATTAATATTTTTTAAGCAAAGATCATTTTTACTCTGCTGCAGACTCCAAACATCTTTTTTGTTTATTATCTGTGTCTTAACACAGATAATAAAAACCAACTTAATACAGTCAACAATCATGTCATTAGAACAATAATACATGTAGCAGCAGTAAATTGCTATTACAAATGATATTAAATTCATTTTAAAGTGATAATAAAAGGGTCATGGAGCCTAACAAATGTCACAAATAGATTTAGAAACAATACGATAAACATAAAGGCCGGAGCGTGTGTGATTTTGTTGGGCGTCATTCATCCTGCGACTCCTCCGGGTTGTGCGGGATCAGAGGCTCCAGCTGCAGCCACAAACCTCCCTCCGCACGCAGGACGAGTTGGGGGAGACGGCGAACTCCCCCGGACCTGGTCCCGAGTTCAGGGTTCGCCCCCGGGGTCAGGCCAAACCTGAGCAGGGTCAACGCCACGACGACCCGAAGCTCTGCCAGGGCGAATTTCTGCCCAATGCAATTCCTGTGTGAACACATACAGGTTCCAGTCTGTACCAACATACTCCTGATCATGCCAGATCCTATTTACCTTGCAGCAATGAGGACTCAATACCTGGGGCCCGAAGAGAAGGGGATGAAGGCATGAGAAGCCTGTTCCGCTGTGTATGCAGGGCCAAAACGCAGCGGATTAAACTCCTAAAAGAGAACAAGTCGCACAGGTTATAAGTGAAAAGAAACTTAAGATTTCTCTTTTTAATTTCTTACGTCAGGGTTTGTCCAAACAGCAGGGTTGTGGTGTGTCCCATAAATACTGACCAAACAGATGGCACCTTGGGAGGAATCACAGAAAGAAACATCTTTTTGAGAATGCGCCACTAGCTGATCAGGGTTTTCCCTCCCTTGTAGAATGTAATGTCTGAAATCTATTTGAAAAAGCCCAGAGTCGCTCCCTCTCACCCTTTGGCACTGTCCGATGCCCTGGCAGTGCCATGTCCTGGGTGTACGTCCTTGTCACAGCCTGCACAGGAGCGTGCAGCCGGAGAGACTCTCTGATGCACATGGTGGTGAAGGGAAGGTTGGACAGATCCTCCCTTTAAATAAAGATATTCACGTTTAAATATGACTCATTTCGGCCTTATTATAACAAACTTTCAGCTGCACTTAATACTAGTTTACCCCCCTCTTACTCAGCATTTTTTTCTGAGGAAATTACAATCAAATGTTCATTGTGGTTGTATGCACGTGTGTTTTCTTACCACTCTATTTCATGTCGGTCTCGCCCTTGCATCAGATCCATCACTTCCTGCCTGCATTTCTCCTGATAGTAGTCGTGGCGTGCTAAATTATACAGCGTCCAGCAGATCGCACTGGCTGTTGTGTCGTGACCTGT